TGGAAGAGCCATTCAGGTGTCAAAATGTTCAGCATTTTCAGGGCGATCCTTCTGCACTTGGCACCCACACGCATTTTCTTCAGAAAATGAATTTTTTTTGTAATGTGTTAAGTATTAAGATCATAAGTTTTCTAAAGAAAGGGGGAGTAGAATCTTGCATACTGTACTGGAATAAACATTCAGTTATCAAAATGTTAAGCCATTTAAGGACATGTGTGCTTGTATTTTTCTTGTTTGTAACATTTATACTTTTTAATAAAATCAGCTTTTTTCAGCACATTTTGCCCCATTCAAAGTAATGGGCAACATTTTCACATCCTAATAACTTCAGCATACCTTTAGCTAAAAACATGATTTCAGCTGTTACCTATTCAGCCACTATTCAGCTATTGGTAATGTAAACAGCTTTTTGATACAGTATCTTTTATGGTTCTTGGATAATTATCATTTACATTTTATGCTTCACTTCAATAGCCACACAGTAGTAGTTCTCAGGGTGTAGGACTACTCTCTCTCTCTCTCTCTCTCTCTCACACACACACACACACACACACACACACACACACACACATACACAGACACAAAAACACCTACACACACACAACCCTACTTGTTTTAACTACTTTGTGGGGACCAGTGGGAAAATGTTCTCATCTTAATAAGCTCAGCATACTTTCCACTATAAAAGCCATTCAAATATCAAAATGTTCAGCTTTTCTGGGACATTCCGGTTTTTATTTTTCATTTTTGTAACATTTATACTTTTTAAAATATTCACCTTTTTCCAGCACATTTTGCCACATTCAAATGAATGGGAAAACTTTTCATATTGTTTTACGTTAAGCATACTTAGGTATGTTCAGGTAGAAACACCATTTCAACTATTAATTAATCAGCAAGTCTTCAGCTATTAATCCTGTAAACAACTTTTTGATATCTTTTATGGTTTTTTGCATAATTGTTGTCAACTGGCCACTGTAATATTCTTCTTTGGCAGCTGTAGCAGGATAGCAGCTTGTCAAGGTTGTCAATCCCTCCTTTGGTGGCATTGTAGTCAAGTATGACCTCTGGCTTGTGGTCCTCCCGGCTGCCGATTCTCCTATTCTTTCAACAAATTTAGCCCCATTCAAATGAATGAGAAAAAAAATTCACATCTTAACTTCAGCATACATTGAGCTAGAAAAATTAGTTTAACTGTTAACTTCATGTTACAGAGTAATTACTTAACTTTTCCTTTTCCTCTTTCATAATTATTCAACATTTTTGAACTTCCACAATTGTTCAGCATTCCATATCATCCTTCAGCCATTTCTTCTCACCCTTCAGCTATTTCAGCAATTGATTTCAGGCATTTTCATGGCGATCCTTCAGCATATCAGCATCCACACGCATTTTCAACAGGAAATGCATTTTTCTAGTTAAGTGCTGAAAGCGTATCTAATTTCAGGTTTGTGTGTCTGTCAGTTTGACTAAGGGGAGAGCTCAGATATGCAGTCAGCTTTGCTCAACTTCATTATACTCAATGAGCAACCACTGTCTGTAGTGGAAAATGTCAGCTTTCGCAGCCTGTTGAAGGACTTATAGCCCAGGTATAATTTGCCACCCAGAAAATACATTTCAGAAATTGCTATACCCAAACTGTACAACTGCGTGTCATCACATTTTGTGGTGCAGCTAGAAGATTTTAAAGCCATGAGCTTCATAACTGATATTTGGACCTCATGTAAGCTGCATCAAAGGTGATCCCATCTATTCAGTTGCCATTTTACTGGACCCTCGATACAAAGATAAATGAGATCATTCTTTATTAATAAAAACTTAATGTGCTAATTTGGATACCTTTTAATGGTAAATGTGAAATCTTGCAAAAGCAAAGCTACATGTTTATTTCTAGCTCAAAAGTGGAAATTTGTAAATATGCATTAATTTGGAGAAGTGTGTGTCTCTTTGGCCTCCGACCATCTAGCGGTTGCATATATTTATCATTACTCATATTTATTATTTTGTTTATTAGTATTGATTGTTTCACTGCAGTGAAATAGCTAACGGCCCATCACTACTGTACTGTACTGTACTGTTGAATGTGTAAAGTTGCTTTGATTCTAAAGCAGCAGTACTTGAAATTTAACCAACTAAACTAAAAATGCGGCACAACTCACCTTTTGTTACATACAAATAGAAGAAGTTGCATAATTGATGTTTACATTTTATGTTTCATTTCAATAGCCACACTCTAGCAGTCCTCATTGTAGGACTACTCTCTCTCTCTCTCTCTCTCTCTCACAAACACAAACACAAACATCTACACACCCACCACTACTTTTTTTTTTTTACCTATTTTGTGGGGACCAATGGAAAATTTTTCACATCTTAATAAGTCAGCATACTTTCAGCAAGAAAAACCATTTTGGTATCAAAATGTTCAGCTCTTCAAGGGCATTGCTGCCTGTATTTATTGTATCTCATTCTTCAGCTTATTCAACAATGAGCTTCAGCCAAGTTGCTTTGATTCTAAAGCAGCAGTACTTGAAATTTAACCAACTAAACTAAAAATGCGGCACAACTCACCTTTTGTTACATACAAATAGAAGAAGTTGCATAATTGATGTTTACATTTTATGTTTCATTTCAATAGCCACACTCTAGCAGTCCTCATTGTAGGACTACTCTCTCTCTCTCTCTCTCTCTCTCTCACACAAACACAAACACAAACACCCACCACTACTTTTTTTTTACCTATTTTGTGGGGACCAATGGAAAATTTTTCACATCTTAATAAGTCAGCATACTTTCAGCAAGAAAAACCATTTTGGTATCAAAATGTTCAGCTCTTCAAGGGCATTGCTGCCTGTATTTATTGTATCTCATTCTTCAGCTTATTCAACAATGAGCTTCAGCCATTTCGTCTCAACAATTTCAACAAAGAACTTCAGCCATTTATTCTCATCCTTCAGCTATTTCAGCAATTGATTTCAGGCATTTTCAGGGCGATCCTTCAGCATATCAGCATCCACATGCATTTTCTACAGGAAATGCATTTTTCTAGTTATTATTCTGGGTTCTTCCATCCATTCTTCCAGCCTATTGCAACACTTGAAATTCATCCACAGCAAATTTCAAAATGAGAAGCCGCATTCTTGCTCCCTTTGTGAGAAAACTTTTGAAAAGAAAGAAGCACTGAAAAAAACATCAGAGGAGCAACCACCTAGCAGAACTATTCCATCAGCCATGTCCATACAGTGGGAAAATTGTCAGCACTTCACCACTTCCTAGACATATACAGTATATTAATCCATACAAGAAAGAGACCTTTCCAATGCAGTAGGCCTGAATGTGACAAGTACTTCAGGTCAACTTCAGAAGCGAGGAGACATGTCCTTGTAAGATATTACCCAGTTCTTCTAACCAGGAACTCAGAGAAACGAGGCGGACCACTTGGATATATAAAAAATAACCGTGCTGGTTTATTCAAAGGATCACAGGTAAAATTAACATTACACGTCCAGGCATCTTCCACCCCCAAACCTGCGCGCAGGCAGCATGGAGGATAAAAGACCCTGAACCCTCATGCCTATACAATTTTATCCCTTGGTTGGGCTAGCCCATGCTACACAGGAACGTCAACCGTGACGTCACCTGATATGCCAGCTTCACAGCTGGCCGTAGCAGTAGTCAAAACATGGAGAGAATCAATGTGTGTGTGAGTGTTGATCATGTGGTGTGTATCTAAAAACATACAGGACGTTCAGGGACATGTCCAGACATTAAGCCTCAGAAGATATTATGATTAAGATTACGGCTGAACATATCATGCTACTAGCAATATTCATCCTGCCTGCAGACTCTTCAGTATAGTTGACCTTGGCCTAGATGCAGCCTGCAGAACTCCTGACAATGAACTGAGCATTTAACAGCCTGAGCTAGACATCCTGGCTACACTAAACATTCCTATACAACAAGTATCTAATCAATATCTACCTGAGTAAGAAATTACCTAACATCCTTTTATTCCATACTTCGGAGACAGACCATATAAGTGTGATGTCTGTGGAAAGGGCTTTGCAAAAATGTGTTATCTCAGAGTACTTGTTAAAATACACGCAGGAGAAAAGCCATTTGTTTGCCATATCTGCAACAAGGCTTTCTCCAAGCTCTACAGCATGCAGAAATACAAAAAACTTGTACATACATTTGTAGCACATTAACCTTGCATGAGAGGCATGCTTGATTCCACAGCAAATCAAATTTATTTATATAGCACTTTAAAAACAACATCCAGTTGACCAAAGTACTTTACATGGCAGAATAAAATCACAATAAATGACTAAAATAGAATAAATAAGATTAGTGCAAAAAATAAAACAGCACAATAACACAGACACACAGATGACATACATTCAGTAAATTAAAATTAAAAGGAATGCATCAGGCCCTACTGTATATTAAAAGCCAAGGCAAATAAATATGTTTTAAGCAATGATTTAAAAGTAATCAGGTCAGTAGCTAATCTAACATTAGAAGGTAGACTATTCCACAATTTAGTTGCTGCAACAGTAATAGCACGGTTACCCCAGCATTTATATCTGGCCCTAGGAACCTCTAAAAGAAACAGGCTTGAAGATCTGAGGGACCTTGTAGGTTTGTGCCAATGCACTAATTCAGTGAGGTAAGATGATGCCAAACCATTAAGAGCTTTAAAATGATGTTTGTTGTGTGTCCTGTAGTTTTTGTCTGCATTTAGGTAACATAGTACATTACTTTGTGGAAGAGAGCTGAACCTTATTTAATAAGGATTTGGAGAGTAAAATGAAAATGTAATCACTATTATAAAGTTTGATTATTCAACAAATACACATAGGCTGGGATACAGCTGCATTAAATTAAACAAATAAATACAAAGCTTAGTAGGTGTAGTGTATAATAAAAATATTTATTTACTTGGAAGTGGAGAGAGAAAGATTAATATCAAAAAACGAAAAAGCGGAACAATTAATGCACCGCTGTCTGTCGTCGGAATATTTTTCCGGGCGGAACGTAAGGTAATCGTTCACGAACAAAGATCGCTTGTTTTTTCGGGCCTCACACAACCATCGTACAGATATTTTGTTTGACTTCGGTCGAGTGACGAACTTTATTTTCCCTCACTGTAATGTAACTACGTTAAATATATAGGATGGACGGCGGTACTTCCGAGTTACCTGGTGAGTGTGAAAGCTTACAGAGGTTTGTTTCGCTAGGCCGCAACGCAGCCCGCGCGCGGGAATAGCAATTCTAACTTTGTAGGAAAATAGCTGTTTTGTGATCCATTTACTACACAGTGTAAAATTTCGACTCCCACTGACATCCTTTGGTTAACGCTACCATTGAAACGAGTAGTTGGGTTTATGGACTTACATTAATTAATCGGCATTTTCGGGAATCGTGCTAACGATATGTGTCGTTTCTGCTATCCTAGCTAACGCAAAAGAAAAAAAAACTAGCTGTGGCAACACGATGTAGGTGTTAGTTTAATAATTGAAGAGTTCCCATTGCTGTCGAATGAACTGCGGCAACCTTTAAACTATGGTCTAAACATACATTCGCATGGTGAGTGTAAATATGTTTACAATTTATGAGGGCCACTTTTTCGGATCGCATATCGAGAAGTGCTGATAGATCAATCCGAGATCACGGAAATGAAAGTAGAAACATCCGCTTCAACCAGAGGTCGGCGGTGGTTTTGGAGGTACGGAAGAAGGGTAACAATAGATCCTTCGTTTTTCTACCCGGAAACCACAGATTGGTCATCGGTTTATTAATTTGTGACCAAAGACCAGTAAACACCATCAGGGAGTAAACCTAAATCTTGACGGGCTCGATTAATCATCCACAATTATAATGTTAGACTGACCTTCCAGCTTTTTTACGATAATGATTGATTGCGTTATCATTATCCGGTATGAATTTAGGATAAAATAGTGTAATGGCTATGTAATGGTTCTGATGTCTAGCATCTAGTTATATGGTTCTAATGTTTAGCTTCCTGTTATATGGTTCTACATTTTATCGCCTGAAAGAAAATAATTTGCTACTTTTTGCATATTGCACCTGCAGTTGAGGTATGACTTGTATATCCCCAGTTTGTGCCTCTGTTACATCTGAGTCACGGAAGTAACATTAACCATCAATTTTTCGGATTGATAGTTGGTGTCAATTGTTTAAAATTCTCAGAGGGCAGTTTAAAGAATCAGTTCACCCAAACAAAACCATCTTAGTGTCTTTCTGTTTAGATCATTTTGGTTTTATTTGGTTTTGAGAAACTGTACTATCTCTTAACATAATATTTGGAACTGTATTTGGAGTACCCTATTCTACAAAACATTTTCAATCTTGGTCTGATTTTAAAGTATTAATTTGTCCTTATTTCGAACTTTAAAAAAATGCATTTC